GTTATATTAATAAATAATTCAAAGAAATCAAATTAATTTAATATATTTATACGTCAAGTAAAAAGTTTTTGAACAAATATAATATATTATTTAAAAGATAATATTTTTTGGTAAAAATGAACCATTCTTATTTTCCTTTTTTTCAAAAAACACATATTTAAAAAAAAATTAGCGAGATAAGTAGTGTTCTGCTAGTTTTATTGATATTAGTATATTAATGAATAATTTAGAAATTTTTTAATTCATTTAATACATTTATTAAATAACATGTAAAATATCTAAATATTAAAATTAAAAATACAGTGTTTAATAAGAACAAGTAGATGTTATGATAAAATAATTTTGAAAGTACAATGATGTAGTAAGAAAGTTACATCACTATAGTACATGTGGACAACCTACGTGGACAATGAGGTGGTATGGAAACCTAGTATAATGAGTAAATTTAAATCAAAAGGTTACCCAATGCTATAATGGGTAAATTTTTCAAAGTACAATGTCCTAATAAAAAATAGTTTGAAAGTACATTGTTGTAATAAGAAAAACTGAAAGTACAATGCTATAATAAAGAAATTTATGAAAGTAAATTTCTTTATTATAGCATTGTACTTTCAGTTTATGAAAGTAAATTGCTATTTTGTGCATTTTGCCCTAAAAAAATAACAAATGTAAATTTTAAACCTAGTTAGGAAATAAGAAATTATAAATTATCGATTTAGTTGAAATACATAATACATATTTAATTTATTAATTAATATATACAACAGGTACAAGGCGGGGAGTATAATACTCGTCCCTGTCCCCTTCCCCTTCCCCTTCCCCGATTTAGCGTATCCCCTTTCCCGAAGAAGCGGGTGGATCTGGTTCCTCAACGGGTTGAGAGGTCATTCCCATGCCTAATCACCACAAGGCAGGGGTCAAGAAGGTCGCCACCGAAGTTTTGGACGTTTCCTCTGATTCAATTTTAATTGTCATTCAACCTTATCAATTAACTAGTGTTTGACATCGCACGTTGCGCGATGACGATAATTTTTTTAAAAATTATTGAAGTTAGCTAAATGAATCGATGATCACATTTATATATTAAATTAATAAAAATCAGTATTACCTTTGATATATGAATCTACCCACCTCATTTTGATTATCCATATATTTTATACGAATTTTACAAAAAAACAAATTAATCTCAAATACAATGTAAACAACCTCGAAAACACACTGTTTCGAGCCAATTAGAGTCCTAACTGACTTTCGACCCTTCATGAAAGTGGTTGCAAGATACGAGCTTATTACGACTTACAGTTTGTGAGTTATACATTGGCAAAGTACGAGAGCTGCACTGTTGATAAAATCCAATTTCACAATTTCTCAACTAACTTT